TACACACCTGCTTGCCAGGTCCTCACAAAGGTCTGTTCAGTGTGCGGTGCCCACAGAGAAGTGAAGTGCAGGAGCTAAGCTCAGTAAGAAATAGAAAACCCGTGTCTTAACTCCACATCTGCCATCCCTGGCTGTAAGTCCTTACTAAGTTACTTAATACTTTCTCGGTTTTCTTATCTATGGTAATAAAAACTCATGATACTTACTTTGCAGGATTGTTAATCATCAGAGCCAACATGTGGAGTGCCTAAAGTAGTACTGTGCCCAGACTAAGAGCCAAGTAGCTTCTCATGATAAATATCATCAGAAAAAATAACAGGGCACACAGTGGCTTCAGGTATTTGCAGTGGTAGCCTGGTTACCCAAATTGATCTCTGGGGCCCACATGGTGGAAGGAGACAACCAATCCCTGACTGTTTCCTCTACTTAACACCCATCCTGTGGTACTTACATTCTCCCCCCCCCCCATTGCCTTTTGATGCATTATATAAGGAAGCTCAGATCATCTTTGTCAAGGTTTTGTCTCAGCCTTCCAGGTTCTACTGGATAGGTTATTTCTTATTTGTTTGTTTGTGAACCTGTTGTCTGTAGGAGCAATTGCTTTCTTATCACTTTTTCAACAATCACCACAATAAAGGCACCTACTCTGTTTCATAGGCTATTAGTCGGTATTATCCGGTTTCAGCCAGTCTTCAGGTTTCCCAGGGTCTCTTCTTTGTGATGAATCTAAAGGCACTTGTGATGTCAAGGATACGTCACTAATATACCTCATTTCCAGGCAAAGATAAGTCATCCATTTGCCAAGGCTGTTTGACCAATGATCTTCAGAGATCTTCTTGTCTCTGTCTTCCCTATGCTGGGATTAGAGGAGCAGACACTCAGCTCTCACAACTCCCACATATGTACTGGGCATCAGAACTCAGGACCCTGTGCTTAGGTAGATGGCACTTCAAGGACTGAATCATCTCCCCACCCATTGGGCTATTTGAAAAATACCAAAGGATATTATATGCATGTATAAAAATACCACAGCAATTAACACATGCTAATAAAACAAAAATTTTAATAGTTCAATTTAGTTTTACTTAAATTTTGTTTTAAGTAAATCAAGTCTTTAAAATAAAATTTTAAATACAAATTTTAAGTGAATATAATTGTAGTTTATATTTAGAGAGTTGAGATAGAAGAGGTAAATGATTCCTGAATATCCATGGAGGAGCTCCTGACCTCGCCTGGCAGACACGGCACCAGAGGCATATACTAGAGCTGCAAGCCCCCAGTCTGCTTTAGACCCTTGCAATGACCTCTGATCCCAACCACAAGACTTGGATTGCCAATATATTGTTAAGACTGGTATTACTGTGCTACTGACAGCTCTGCCACCCAGAACTCTGGTCTCCCGGTTTCTACAGTCTCCAATTCATTGGCCCTTGACCATCTCTTTCTCGGACTGCAAAAGCACTGTCCTAGCATCATCAAGGTGAGACAGATGTTCCTCAGGGAGACTGAAACCACAGCCTCAGCAGATAAAAGGAAAACAGCTCTTCTCCACGGAGCTTGGACATCTCTAGTCTCAGCAAACTATACAAGGCTTCTCAGGAAAAAGTATGGCTGGTGGGAGAGGGAGTAAAAATGGGAAGAGATTTACCCACTTACCCCAGCAATGGGTTATTTCTGATACCATATAAAATATTAGAATAAAAGAATCCCCCTACCTAAATTTGTACTTGTAATTTTTGCATGCCTGGCTGACTCTTGAAAATACAGCTCCCGCCTCTGTCTTATCCCACAGTGTGGCAGCTTAGTGTGCTCATCCATTGGAGTCATTGTTTTCCTCATCTGTCACATTTTGTTCTTTATTTAAATGCAGAATCAGGAAATTCACATTGAAATTAAACATCTTGCTTCCTATGGCAGAAAGCCAGAAAGAATTTGTCTTTGGAGGCTGACTACAAAACATAAAGCTGTGTTTTTATATAATGTCTTTCCTACTTAATTTCACCAAGTGATTAGTAACTGATTATGACTTAGCCACCAGACACAAGCATATACAGAAACAAATGGCTTAGGAATGCTGAGACATAATACATCAAGAATGGAACTAATATTGGTTAAAACAGTTTGCATTTGAAATAGGGCACCTAGGATAATGACCTCATGTCCAGAGGAAAAAAGATGCCATTGGTCAAGAGACTGATAGTCTGTCTTGTTATTGGAGCATGTCCCCCTGCCCTATCCCTCAAGCCTTTTCAAGTCTCTAGGAGTTGTATGTCAATCAGAGAACCATGAGTTCTGTGCTCTGATTCATGGGAGATAACCAGCATTTAGATCATCTTCAAAGCAGCCTAGCTTTTTTTTCTCATCCTGTTCTTCAGGTGATCACTAGAAGGGAAGACTTAGGAGAAAACACTGATCAGATATATGCCAAGAAGGGTGACAATCTTGAGTCATTTGATGGAAGGGGTTTGGCCTTGGACACAGTCACATATGTCCCTGTCATTAATCAGACACTGGGAAGCCATGTACTTAACATCTTTGTCTCTAGGATATCTGCCTTTATCAGAGTTGCCAAGTCTCTATACTCTTACTTCTTTCTTGGCCTCCCTTAAATAGTCAGAATCCTTGCAGATTTTTTTAAAACACAAAATTCCTCCATCTTCTCTTCCTTTCTATTCACAGATGCCTTGTTTTTGCTAAACTGCTGTTTACATCATGTCAATTTCTGTTCCCAATAGAGAATAATATGTACCCTCTTGAGCCTGCCATCCAAGAAGCAGCATAGCCATGATTCTCCATTATTTCTGTCCTGTTTTGATCAGAAGGACTTATCTAGATACTTCTTTTTCTTGCTATTATTCCTGAGGCTGAAGCACTGAATTATTGTTTCTCAAAGCCTACTTCCCTTCATGTTTTATCCCAATCCTGTGGGATGATTTTTTTTCTCATAGCATCATTGTTGTAATTTAAAAAAAGAGGGTGTGAGAGAAAGACACCATGTGATATAGTTCAAGTGGAGTTTTTATTAGGGGGAAGGGGTCATAAATGGGGGAAGGGGATGGGGGAGACTGGCCTGTGGGGACAGGAGCAGAGGGAGAGGGGAAAGAGAGGCAGAGAGAGAGAGAGAGAGAGAGAGAGAGAGAGAGAGAGAGAGAGAGAGAAACAGATAAACAAAGGGAGGGAAAGAGAGAGAGAGATGTGAGGTGGGCCGAGCCCTTTAAAAGGAAACAGAGTGAATATGCACAGGTGGTGTTCTTAGTGGCTGAAGCTGAGGGCATATCTGTCAGAACTCCAAGGGCAGGTGAGTGCAGATGCCTGAATGCTAACAATATTGACTAACACACAGAATTGAAGTTTAACCTCCTCATAGATCTAGTTCCTAGAACAGAGATTGGTGGAGGCTACCATGGAACAAACAGGTTTAGAGGAAAGTGTTCTTGGGATCAGTGTCTTTGGGAAAGAACAATCAACTATGCAGAGGAAAAGGTGGACTGTAATCTGGTCTACACAGAGGCTTCTTCCTGGGAGTTTTGGAGCTTGGAGGGCCTTCTTGGGGTTCCAGGCCAACACCTAATATACAGTATAAATGAAGCATCTTATTTTTCCAATGGCCATCTGTAACAGGAATTCTAATAGGTCTTACTAGTAAACCCTCAAAGTCAGATATAGGGGAAAATGCTGAGAGACCAGAGAGAAGAAGGATCAGAACCACAGCCACCTTACCTAATCAGCTTTCCAGCTGAAAAGAGGGCGAGCTCCTGTCTTCTTCCACCTCGTCCCTCCCTCTCTCCACCCAGCCACGTCACTTCCTTCTGTCTGTAAAGACCTCCAGACCTCTATGGCTAGCTAGTGGATGGCTCTGCCCTCTGATCTTCAGGCAAGCTTTAGTTGTTAGATGATAAACACAATATCACCACAGCCAGAGATGTCTGCATTATTCTTCTGCTCCTAGGGAATGCATGACTTCCACAGTCTTCCTCTGTCCTGGGCAGAAAACTGCGGCAGTTGGTACATATCCTGTGAGCTTGCACTGGTCAGGTCATCTCACCAGGTTCTGTGTGATTCCCAGTAAGGTTCTAGCCCCATCTATGTCCCCCAGAGCTTACTTCACAAGAAGAGAAGAAAATATGAAAGGCATGACAAGACGCCACGCTAACTTTTACTCTTCCGAGACCCTACTATACCCACTCCCTTCAACTTTTCTTCAGGTTCTTATTTCAAAGCCCAAGAGGGCTAGAGCCCATACACTAGGTCTCTGTATTATTCTGTTCTCTGCCCCTTATCTCAAAGCTAACAGCGTACGCTGCCATTGTCCCACATGTTGTTCTATATATATGACACACCTTAGCCCACAGAATCTAACACAAAGTTCTTACTGTGCTACTTTAAAGGTCTTTGCAGTATCACCTCCCACAGCCGTTTCTACGCCTCCCAAACTTCTAGCTCTCAGCTGATGCCCATCTTTCCCAGCGAATGACTTCTGCCCTACACATTTCTGGTGATATCTGGGCTTTCTCTTTGTTAGCTTCTCTTTCCCCCTTCATTTTCCCACTTGGCATGTAGTTGTATCAATACAACATAAAATACATTATAATGATAACTTAATTCATATATGGTAAGGATTTCCTAATTTCCAAAGTCGTTTTACATCCACAAGACATCACACAAGTAGCCCCTCACATTCTGGAAATGTGTGAGCAAATAATCTTAATCAATTATTAAGTTCTAAAACTCCAGGAAGCCATTCATGTTTCTGTGTCATGTCCCAGCTCTTACTCTTGTAGGGGTCCTGGAGGCTGTGCATCTCAGTGGATGGTTAAATTGTCTATGCTAAAGGAGTCAGGCATACAGTTTGTCCCTAGTACCATGCTAGGGTAACCAGGCATACAACTTTGTCATGAGTGGGGCACAGGGAAGAGAAAGTGAAATCCTCCCTGCACAGTGGTTTGTTTGCTTAGGCTTTCATCCAGAAAGGCATGGAGAGGGTTGCTTGGAGACACCTGCAGAGGGAATTAGCCATTACCCAAGCATATATGTGAAAGGGACAGGCTCTTGGAATAAAAACAGAAGTTTGAAGACGGGTAACTTGGAATAGGAGGGGAGATGCTAACCAAACACCGTTTTTCTGTGAGTCACCCTTTAAAGGTTTTTCTTAATTTTTTTTTGTTTTAAAAAATTATGATTTAAAAGGCTCAAACAGCCTAGGGAAGTAAATCCATGCATATTTCCAACATTAGTTAATATTTACTAAGACATCATAGGTTACAACAAATGAAGCTTTTTGGCTCTCTCACTGAAATTTTCTGGCCAACCATGTTAGTGGCTGTTCCTACAGATAGTTTATAACTGTTTCTTCACCTCTCTCCAGCAACTGAAGTACACGTTCGAAGGACTCAGGCATGTGGATCACAAACCATCGTCTTTGAAAAATGTGTTTGAGATTGAAGAACAGATCAATGATGTGAACAGGCAGGGCCTAGCCATGGCCACTGATATATTGGAAAAGAGAGTGAGGTTTTTCCTTGTTTGAAGTAGAATTCCTTCTTCTGAACCTGGGCATCCTCAGAGAAATGCTTTATAATCCAAAGCAATGTTTACTTTGGATTCTGTTCCTTTTAGTTTTCACTTGTGACCTTAGGACTGAGCTCACAATTGGAAGCAAATCTGTCTTCTGTCTCTACTATTAAATAATTACCTACCCAGTGAAAAACCACACAGAACTCATAGTGGCCTTGTCCCAAAGAGATGCTTTGTGAACTTGTGGGAATTATATTTATGATTCTTGCAAATTTCAGCTCAACTGCCGAGGTAGTTCAGTGAGGGTAGTTGAGCTCTTAGTAGATAGAATGTACCTAGTGTTCAATTTTGCTCTGTAGCATGCTGGGTTCTCTTCATGTGACTCAACGAGTGTTTTTGACAAGAGGGATGATGGACCATTTTTGATATGATGCTTGTGTTTGGCAGGTGTCTCACTGAAAACCTGCCTCAGCCCTTTAGGAGCCACATCTTCATGTTGAAATGTGAGAAGGGCTCCAGAATGGCTCGCCGAGTCAAGCAGAGCCTACCTTGGCAAATGGCAGTTGTGGATTTTCATTGGTTTTGGTTGAATACTGTTTGGAAGCTTCAGTTTTCAAAGCCCTCAAAGGAAGCCAGTGCCTTTCATTATTAATAGATTTACTGAAGGGACCGCCATACTGGAATGACATTTCTGAAATCCCCAGGAAGGGATGGAGAATGTAGAAGAAACTCATATTTATTTGCTCATGGGCTTTAAAATAAACTTTTATCCACTTCTAGCAAAGTGCCAAGCCAAGGGATGTACATAGGATCATCACAGACGCATCTCACAACTCAGTGAAAACCATTTTATAGTTGGGGACATTGAGACTCAGATAAGTAAAATAACCAACAGATGGGACAGACAAAGAAGTGAAGTGAAGACTTAAGTTAATGTCTGCCACTAAAAATAGACAATTTCCTCCATGAAGCATCTTGATCATGGATATGTCCTGCATTTGCACACATGGCCACAGCTAACAGGAACAAACAAGCCTTCTAGCTACTAAGGGAATTAAAACATACTGCTATATGAAAATCTCTCTCCCCCACAGTCTCACTTCCTGTCTTCCTTTTTCCTACCACCCAGGATGTGTTGTGAACTCCCAAGGCAGGCAAACGAGGAAGCATCATTTTGAAAACTCTCAGACATATTTCTGACATCCTTAGGCTTCGAGTACTCACAAAACATTTCAAGAAAGGATTTTAAAGGACGCCTAAGGATCCGCAGGTCAGGCTTTGCACAGAGGCAGGAAACACATCCTTGAGGTCACTTTCTTCTAAACTGATGTATTCTTTCCAGAGTGATAATAATCTTTTTTTGAAATGCAGGTCTAAGATGGAAGGAATTTTTATCTGGAAGAGTAATATAAATTAGCTTTGACTGCCAGTTTCCACCGATTATGACTTTCCAGGCGGAATTCCTACAAATTCTTGAGGCATGACCTCCAGTGAAAAAATAAAACCCCTTTAAAAACTTGCTGAGAAATTCCAGATAACTTTCACAAGAGACTTAATTTTAGAGCATTAACACAACCTTGGTTGGAAAGATAAAACTACAATGCAGTTATTTGGTAGAAGTCATTACTTCACGATGAAGTCATTGCAGATTATTTTACTCTGCTTATCTGACCCTCTTTTTTTTCTCTTCGCTCTCTTTTAAACTTGGGTCCTTTCCCCTAAAACTAATTTTATTATGCATTACTCAGTGCACTCTGGATTCACCCTTATAAAAGTATAAAGTGTTTCAACAGATAGCCAGTTGGAGGTTATCTGAGTCTCAACCTACCAGGATGAGCAAACACTATTATAGGCTATTACATCTTAGTAATATGTATTGTGCATTATCACATACATTTGGTTTTGGAAACCACAAAAGAAGCTTAAACAATATTACACAATTTCAAATAGTTAGGAAAGCAGATTTTACATGTTCTCATCACAAAGAAATGGTAAATGTCTGAGGTGATGGATAGCCTAGATACCCTGACTGGATGCCTACAGCACATATAAATGTGCAGAAGCATGACACTGTACCCCCATAAAGATGCATGACACCTGTCAATCACAGACACTATGTCAGGGGGCTGGAGCACTGACTCAGCAGTTAAGAACACTTGCAATGCTTGCAAAGGACCTAAGTTCAGTTTGCAGGACCCACATGGTGGCTGACAACTAGTTCCATATACCCAGGGCCTCCTTCTGGCCTCCACAAGTACCAGCTACTCTAGTGGTACATACACATACAGGCAGGCAAAACACTCACACACAAAATAGACACTAATAAGTCCAATAAATTTCCAAAACATTGATTAAGAAACAACAACTGAGAATGAACTGTCTTAAAGAGACTTCTGTGTGTTTTGGAAGACGTTTAGGTGTGGCAAGGTGAAAATATGCATACTAGGATTTTTGCGGGGCCTTACAGGCTGTGGTGTGATCACGTGTCACCCCCACTGGAGAGATGGGGAAAGTTGGAACCAGAAAACTGAGGTGCTCCATCCAAGAACTCCTGACTTGAACAGTGCAGTGGTCATAGTTCCCATCCAGGAACGTTTGACTGTACACTTGGTTTTCTTCCCACTGCAGAGTGTCACACTTCTTTGAACTGCCTGAGATGGGAAGACACAGAAACTAGGGCCACAGGTGCAAAACGTATCAGTGGTTCACTGTGGAGCCAAGGGAAAAGGCTATTACTGCCCAGCACTTTTACTGAAATGTTAATTTCCTGGAAGGTGATTTTTTAAAGATCCACGTTTCTTGACTATATCTAAATATAATAAGGAACACTATCATGGATTACTATCTTTTGAGGCATTTATATGAAGTTTAAAGTATTTTTCTTGCTGTAATAGATGTATCTGACAGTTGGGGGAATAGTTGGGGAAGGCAGGGTTTGCTCTGGCTTACCATTTAGTGGGCTCTGTCATGGTAGGGATGTCTTGACCCCAGGAGTTTCATGTGACTAGTCCCAGTGCTTCCACAGTCAGGAAGTAGAGAACTATGAATGTTCATATCCGGCCGACTTTCTCCATTTTATGAACCAGGACCTCTGTGTATGTGATAGTGAAGTCCGTATTCAGTGTGGGTCATCCCACTTCAGTTAGTGTGTTCTAGATAATCCCTCACAGGCATGTCCAAAGCCCATCTCCTGGTTATTCTAGATCTTGTCAAACTGACAATCAATTTGAAGTATGTCAATTATCTCACATATACAATGGTTAGTTTTAGCATGAAGCACACCCCCCTCCAGCCATTTAATTTTCTTTAATTTTTACATGAGTTTCATGGGCAGGGACAAAAAAGATTTGCAAAAGAAGGAAAAATAGGATTGCTGATGCAGCTTAGTAAACAGCAGGTACGCCACACTCAAGGCGCTAGGGGAGTCAATGCCGACCACTAAGTTATTAATTAATTAATAAAATAAAATTGAAGAAGAGGTTATTTTGGACCTGTGAGATCCTTTATACTGTTTTTTTATTTTTAGAGGGCATAATAAGCTAGTCATGGACATTATATTTTGGATAATCATTTCTTCTTTTAAAAAAACTTTTATTATACTCGTTGGTTTATGCACAAATGTTTTCTTGTTTATGAGTTTTATAAATGCATACATTGTATTTTGATCAAACCTACCCTCCTTCCCCACTTGGTGGGTGATGGCTCTTTGGATTTCTGCCTCACTTAGGTTCATTACCTAATTTAAATCCTCATAATTCTCTATGACTTTATATTTGTGGACTCTTGTTTCCTAGAGTACAATGCCAATTTGCTAAAGGTCTGGGTAGTATCCTATGGTATCTGGGTCCTACCCACAGCACCTAATGTATCGCTCTGACTAGCCAAGTGCCACTTATTAAGCTGGTGCCATGATGATTGATGACATCATTCTGCTTTTGATGACACATCAGAGGTTACACACAGGCGAATTCTTTTCTTGCCAAGGATGCTACCTGGGGAGAGCACTCACATATTTGATGGTGTTAACAATAACAAAAATAACTTTTCAGTGCCTTGCTATTTGAACATATGCTCTTTTAATGTTTTAATTTTATGTGTGTGGTTATTTGATCGACATGTATGTCTGTGTACCAGTTGAATCCTATTGCCTATGTAGGCCAGAAGACAGTTAGGATCCCCTCAAACTAGAATTACACATGGTTGTGAGCCATCGCATTGGTCCTTGGAATCAAACCTGGGTCCTCTAGAGGAGCAACCAATGCTTTTAATCCCCAAGCCATCTCTCCAGGCCCTCAATATATGTTCTTTACAATAACAAGCTCTGACCTCCAATGCCACCAGCATCACTGCCACAACTACTATCCATGTCACAATAATTCTAATTTGTTTATGCAATATCTTATGATCTAACTCAAGATTGTTAAAATCATGTCTTCCTTTTTCCAAATACAGCACTGGGCCAACTGCTCTTCATACATGAAAAGTAACTTTTTGCCACATCATTCTATACAGACCAATTGTATACATCAGCTTAGGACTTACCTAGTTATTTTGATGCCTACTTTCAGTCATGACAATCAGAGTAATTTTGGACACTTGTAAAATCTCAG